ATGAATTCTTATTAATAAGTTCCAGATTACCGCAGTAGTTGTGGGGGGAAGCTATCCTTACAGCTAATCGAATACTCAACAGAGTACCCCACAGCANATATTATATTTACATGAAGAAGTAGTACTATATATACTACAAAACAAGATTTTTCAAAATGAGGGCCCCACCCCCAATGACCACCAACGGTCATATTAATTGCACAAATAGCCATTTTTTTTTAAATTTACAAAACTAACCTTCTCTAACACTATAAGTACCCCCCTCCCTCTTCTTCATTTCAATACTCAATACTCATTTCTCAATCTAAATTTCTCTCAATCTCTCAATCTCCAATTTTCAAGACTTCAAGTCTCAATCTCAATTTTCAAGTTAAATCATGCCTCGTTCGGAAAGAGTGCGCTTATTTGTGTCGCAATACTATGAAGTGCTTGAAGAAAATGAAGAAGGCCAAATATTAAAGTGCAAGAACTGTGGAAGAGTCTTAAATTTTTGTTCAGGGTGTACCACAGGCATTTTAAGGAGGCATATAAAGTATTGTGTTGAGGGTATTTATCCGCAAATTCGTCTTTAAGATTTTTCAACAATTTGTGTTATTTTAAAATTATTAGACGTATTTATGCTTCATGTTGTACTTTGTTATTAATTTATTATGCATGCCAATTTAGTTTTACTATTGATTTGTTATTTTACATTTTCGTCAAACACTTTAATAATTAGATTTCAATATTATATATACCACATATATTTATATAGCCATGCATAAGAGCAATTTATATATATACATACACATATGGTTTACAAGAAATTGCCCTAAATAAAAAAAATTAAAAAAAAAAGCCCGGAAATAAAAAAAGCCCGTTAGGCCCGCTAAGCCCACGAGCCCGGCCCATTTAGCCCAGGACCATATGGGCTTAGGCCCGTCACGGGCTGGTCCTACCCGTTGAGCCCATGAAGCCCGGGACCGCGAAGCCCGGGACCGCCAGAGCCCGGGACCGCTAAGCCCAGGCCCGTTTAGCCCGGCCCGTTTAGCCCATTTAGGCCCGGGCCCGGGCCCACATACAGCCTTAATTCAAATCCTTTAGACTTAATTCATACTGACATTTGTGATATGAAGTCGACACCATCTAGAGGTGGAAAAAAGTATTTTATTACTTTTATTGACGATTGCACTAGATATTGCTAGTTTATTTGCTTAATAGTAAGGATGAAGCAATTGAAGCATTTAAGCAGTACAAGAATGAGGTAGAAAATCAATTGAATAAAAAGATCAAAATGATTAGAAGTGATAGAGGTGGAGAATATGAATCTCCGTTTGCAGAAATATGTTCGGAATATGGAATTATCCATCAAACTACTGCACCTTACACACCTCAATCCAACGGAATTGCGGAAAGGAAAAATCGGACATTAAAAGAAATGATGAATTCTTTATTAATAAGTTCCGGATTACCGTAGAGTTTGTGGGGGAAGCTATCCTTACAGCTAACCGAATACTCAACAGAGTACCCCACAGCAAAACGCAATCTATTCCGTATGAAAAATGGAAAGGAAGAAAGCCCGACTTGAAATATTTCAAAGTGTGGGGGTGTCTAGCAAAGGTACAAGTTCCTTTACTAAAAGGGTTAAAATTGGACCAAAAATAGTAGATTGCGTTTTCATTGGATATGCTACAAATAGTAAAGCATGTCGATTTTTGGTTCATAAATCTGATAATCCCGAGAATCATGTTAATACGGTAATGGAATCAGATAATGCTGAATTCTTTGAAAGCATCTATCCGTATAAAACTGAAAGCGAGTCGTTAAGTGAAAGACCTAAACGACCTCGGGAAGAACCAAAGGAAAATACTCCAAGTATAGAAGATCCAAGGCGTAGCAAACGTCAAAGAACATCTACTTCCTTTGGACCAGATTTTGTGACATTCTTGCTTGAAAATGAGCCTCAATCTTTTAAAGCAGTTATGTCGTCTTCTGATTCAACATTTTGGAAAGAGGAAGTCAATAGTGAGATTCAATCAATTTTGGATAACCATACATGGGAATTGGTTGATCTTCCTCCAGGAAATAAGCCTTTAGGTTCGAAATGGATCTTTAAACGGAAAATTAAAGCTGATGGCACTATTGACAAATATAAGGCAAGACTTGTTGTCAAAGGTTATAGACAAAAGGAAGGCCTTGATTACTTTGACACTTACTCGCCAGTAACTAGGATAACATCTATTAGGGTGTTAGTCGCACTAGCGGCCGTGTATGGTCTTGAAATCCATCAAATGGATGTTAAAACACTTTCCTAAATGGAGAATTGGAGGAAGAGATTTACATGGAACAACTTGAGGTTTTTGTGGTTCCTGGTAAAGAAAAGAAAATGTGCAAACTTGTTAAGTCGCTTTATGGACTTAAACAAGCACCCAAACAATGGCATACAAAATTTGACCAAACAATGTTGGCAAATGGATTTAAAATCAACAAGTGTGAAAAATGTGTTTACATTAAAAATACTCCAGGTCATGAAGTCATTGTTTGTTTATATGTTGATGACATGTTGATAATAAGCAAAAGTACGGCAGATATAAATGCTACAAAGCGCATGTTGGCTAGCAAATTCGACATGAAAGACTTAGGAGTTGCTGATGTCATCTTAGGAATCAGAATTCGCAAGACTCCACAAGGTCTAGCATTATCACAGTCTCACTACATTGAAAAGGTACTTGACAAGTTCAAGTATTTGGATTTCAAAATTGCCAAGACTCCAATTGACGTGAGTTATGCACTTCAAAAGAATGAAGGTGAAACTGACTCACAACTGGACTATGCAAGAGTATTGGAAAGTTTGATGTATATCATGAATTGTACGCGATCAGATATAGCATGTGCTATTAGCAAACTGAGTCGGTTTACAAGTAATCCCAATCAAATACATTGGATGGCAATGAAACGAGTTTTGGGGTATCTGAAACATACCGAAAATTATGCTTTGCATTATAACAAATATCCTTCCATGATCGAGGAATATAGTGATGCAAATTGGATCACCGGATCATCTGAAGTTAAATCCACGAGTGGATATGTTTTCACAATTGGGGGTGGAGCAGAGTCTTGGAAATCATCCAAACAAACGTGCATCGCCCGTTCTACAATGGAATCTGAATTTATAGCTTTAGATAAGGCCGGTGAAGAAGCTGAATGGCTCCGGAACCTTTGGCACCTATATGTATACATTGTGATAGTCAAGCGGCAATAGGTAGGGCAGGGAGCGTTATGTATAACGGGAAATCTCGTCATATTCGACGGAGATACAATACTGTTAGACAACTACTCTCTAGTGGTGTTATCACAATTGACTACGTAAAGTCAAGAGATAACGTGTCGGATCCACTTACAAAAGGCCTATCTAGAGAGGCGGTTGAAAGATCATCAAAGGGAATGGGGTTAAAGGCCTAGGACAAGTCATCATGGCGGTAACTCTACCTAGCAGACTGGAGATCCCAAGAGCTAAGTTCAAAGAGATCAAACAAAGTTATGAAAGACGGTTCAACATTGTCAACTAACTCAACCCATTCTCGTGATGAAGACAATGTTCAAAAACGGGGTAAAGCATTAAGGCTTTTTGATGAGTCAATAAAGCTTAAAGCTTTTTAATGATTTGCTAAGTCTGGCAGGATATGACCAGATAGTGTGTCTTTAGGATTACACGTTTAGGAATCACCTATGTGAATGTGAAGTGTAAGCCGCTTCAAGGAGAATGAAAGTAAATGCCATTCTCTAAGCACTCATGAAACCAGGCGGTGTTCATGGCTGAAACGAACACAACCGTGAGAACCATAGATGGTTAAGGATTGATTGTGTGACTTATGTTCTCTAGATATACAACAAAGCTCGACGGTTCAAAGATATCAAATCTACCGATTGACCGAGTATATCCGATATATGTTCACTACGGAAAGTTCAAAGGGAAACCTACTTATCCAGATGCAATCAATTCTTGCTTGTAAAACACACACACGTCCGTGCATTCCTTTGAGTTTATAGCCATTCCCCATTCATGTGGGGAATTGTTGGGTTTGTTATTAATAAATAATAACAAAAGAGGTGTGAATGGAAAATGGTGGGAAAAGAAATGGAGGGAAGTGAAATTTTGAATGAGTTCATTTCACTTATGCACTTTGTCCCTCATTGGTAGAAGGAAAGAAAATCTTTGTGTATATAAAGAGAAGCTCATCTTTAGCTCTTAAAGAGCTAAGAAGAAGGCAAGCCTCGCGTCGTCGTCGTCGTCGCTCGCTCGGCTTCGGCTTCGGCTTCGTCAAAGATCGATTGATTGATTAATCTTTTTGGACAAAATTCATTTTAAATATTTAATTAAATTAATTAAAGAAAATTCAGTCCGGAATAACCCGCGACGCAATCCAGTCCGGCCCGTTTTTCTTTCTCGGATCATTTTAAATCCGTTTTAAATTTTCCCGCAATATTTTCAACAGCCATGGCTGTTGTGAAACAGTGTCACACCTGTTCCAATAGCTATGGCTATTCTGAAAGGTTACAAACCTTTTCAGAAACAACACCGAAATTGGCTATAAATACACCTTCAAATCCCAGAATATTTACTTACGAAATTTTCTGAATATTCTTCTTCTTCTGCACAAAATATTCCAGTGTGTTTTACGACCATCGAGTGGTTCGCCGATCATCAGAGTTTTAGGTACCGATACACTGGTGAGTTAAATCGTTCTATCCTGGGAGGATATATTCCAGAACCTCGGGTACTTGAGGGGAATAATTTCCTTAAGGACACACTGTGTATTCAGTGGACTCGATTTGTTCCTACAACGTTTTCAGAATTTATTTTGAAGAAGTTTACTGTTTTCGGAATTTAATTTCTATTAACTTTCTGTTTTTTGTTTTCAGAAAAATTATTATTTAATTTATTTTCAGCAATACAGATATATAACATTTATATGGATTTTTAATAGAGGAATGTATATGAGAAGGAAGAAAATATTTACTTTTCTGACCTTCCTCAGAAGCGAATGAAGGACAGAAATTGCAAGCACACTTCATTTTCCAGCTTGACTATCAACTTTTGAAGAAGATAGTGCATGATTTGAATGATGCAATTGTAGCCTCTTTTTTGATTCAGCTCTTTTAGCTTGCAGTTGCGATAAAATTAATTGGTTTGTCTCTGCGGACATTTGTACATATCTAGTACGATGTCGCATATATCTGTCAGCACGATGATGTTCTTAGTGTTCTGAGTCCATGCAACAGATCGCCCTTGTCTGTCTGAATTCCTATTGCAGGTAGTTTTCAATTTTGTTAATGTAATTGTCACAATTTGGTCTAATACTAAAATCATACATTTATACTAATTTTCTCGGTAAACACAAAGTTACACTGACAGTATCAAAATACAACTGAAGGATATGCAAAGAAATGACACACGTTTCAAAATAACCTAATGTGTAGAAAATACAGATATACTGGAGCAAAATCACCATCAGAAAACCAAGTGAAGTTAATCCAGAGTGAGAAAATTATGGATAAATTCAGTTGTGAACCATAAATGAGAACTAAAAGCAATTCAGTTGTAACATATAAGTTTCTATGGTGCCTATGACAACTTAAAGCATCCTAATTCAGTTTCCTTGACAATAGCCTTCACAAATTGATAAATGGGACACATCTATACAACCATGAAATAAACATAAAAAGAAAGCACGTTGTTTCCTTGACAAACCCCTTCACAAAATTGATAGTGTTAGGACGATTCAATATTAAGGAGTAGAACTAAAAAAGAATAGACACCTCATACCTCAGTGTGCACCAAGTCAATACACAAGCAAAATTAGAAGAAATCCAAGTCAGTTTTTTACAAAAGTTGAATCTAGAGGTGAAATATTTTTAAAGTTTTATATCCCGTGATTAAAGATGCACTGTTTACCCAAGAAGAACTGCTCAATACAAATAAAATATCAAAATCAGTAACTGACTATTATCATTACCAAAACAAAAACAGAACACAAAAATTCTTGTTTCAGAAAGAATAGATCCAAAATTTAAAGGGGATGAAAAGAAAGAGGAATGTACCTCAAGTCTTGAAAGTTGAAAATTTTGAAAACGCTTTCTCTTGATTTGGCCTGCTAATTGTTCTGGCTTTGGAAATTAAACATTTTCTCCTTGTACATAAGGCTCCTTACACACATAAATTTTTAGCCGCAGAAGTATAATCTTCATGCATAGAGAATAAAAGTTAGCAAATCTTGCAACTCGTAACCTGTTATCACAAATGAAGAAAGGGAGAACATAAAGCAAATATCATGTCTGTGAGGTAGCCGGAATAGAGAAAAATAAGGAAAAAAAGAAGAAAGGAACATGCCGAGAAAGAGAGAAATGAATGATCCGAAGAAGATAAAATGGCACAAATGGGTATGGAAGGTGAAAATCAGTGGAGCGGAGAAGATGGAATCCAGTGAATTGAACTTTTCGGATATGAATAACTTTTAATTCATGAATTGAACTTTTATAAACGAACTTTTAGTTTATAATTTAAAAATTTAGGATATGAATTGAAATTTTAGGATATGAAATTAATTAACTAAAAAAAGATTAGGATATGAATTAACTAAATTAATTTTATGCAAAAATTATTACCCAGAAAAGCTACCAAAGTTGGTCGCTAACCTATTAAAAAAAATTCTGGCAATTAGCGACCAAGGTTGGTCGCTTATATCTATAAAAAATAAAAAAAATAAAAATTTGCGACCAAGGTTGGTCGCTAATGAACCCAGATTTTATTTAAAAAAAAAAATTGAAAATTAGCAACCAAGGTTGGTCGCTTATATATAAAAAAAATTTAAAAATTAAAAATAAGCGACCAAAGTTGGTCGCTTATGAACCCAGATTGTTATATATATATTTTTTAAAATAATATATATTTTAATTTACAGACCAACGTTGGTCGCTAATTGTTGAATTATAATAATTAAAAAAATATCGTAATTTAAATATACAGACCAACGTTCGTTGCTAAATTTATATTATTAAAATATTGTACCGACCAAAGTTGGTCGGTATTTTGTTTACACTGAACATTTGGTCATTTTATCTTAGCGACCAACTTTGATCGCTAAGGTAAAAGGACCACCAATATAGCGGCCAAGCCTGTTTGGACGCGTTTTGGTCGGTATATTGAGATAAGCGATCAACATTGGTCTCTATATGTGATAGCTTTTTACCGAATTTCTGGTAGTGAATGCGGATATTGAGTACTAGGTGGAAAAAAAGAAAGATTAACCATTGATTGTATCAAGCATGATGTCAAATCTTAATTTTCCTTGCCCTCTGAAAAAATTGAACTTTAACAAAAAAAAATTGATTCAACCATCTCTTTGTCTACTTGAATCTGATATTTTGAATACCAAAGATTTAGAATACTAATAAATTACATAATATTCCCAGCTATTTTTGTCTCTTTTTTGAAATTCAGAAATAGTAAGCGGTTCCATAAGGAATTTCTGAAGTAAGTTATTTATCTTATAATGTTATTATTAATCAAGGATTTCTTATATAGCTAGAATGACCCTCACAAATTGTGAATACTAATTTATTAAGAATTAATCAGATTGAGGATATGACGTCATCATTCGCTGGAATTGAAATATCTGCGAGATCGGGGTCACAATTTGTATCGGTTAAATAAATTATTGGAATTCCTAAAGTAATACACTCTTGCAGGGCCGTATATCTTTCGTGCCGATCAACAATAATTACATTATCGGACACAATCCTGCCCAGATATGTTTGCAAGCAAGATAATAGTCTTTTCAGTATAGCTGCACTTTTTTTTTGGGATATGCCTTTAAATTTTAAAGACCTCGTGGCCACGTTTCTGTTCTTTTCTGTTATCAGTAACTAATGGAAGATAGTAAGTATTCAATGAATATATTAACCGAAGAGCATATGAATTGGTCTGGGTAAAAAATGATTTGAATGTTCAAGATCAAATTGAATTATAGATTCATTCATTGATTCATATCAACGACAAAAACTATATAGCAAGTTCACATGTATCTTTTGAGCTAAGTCAATTTCATGAGCTTTATTCGTTCACATGGAAGTGGACCCTTTGTTGGATAGATTTGTTTAACAAATAATTCTTCTTTTGGTTGAGAAATTTCCTATGGACAGGAAAGATTTCATAGCCTAAGCCCCTAAGATATTTCCGTCAGAAATTTCCCAGGAATTGGATAGGATTTCTCTTTTACTAGTAATCCAGCCAAATCCAAGAAATTTCACATTGTGGTACAACTTTGTTACCAATTAATTCAGTACATTGCTAAGGATATAAATGAGATTCCCCCATGGTACAGACAGTCCAATTTTCTAGTATATATTTAATCTAGTGCAAGTGGTCGATCATGCCATACTACACACATGGGGTGTGTGTACATGGACCGGATTGGTTCGATTCTAAATCAAATCAAACTACTATATCGGTTTGGATTGGTTCGGTTTTGTCGGATTATTTTGTTACACAAATATTATTTCAGTCTTATTTTGTTAAATTTTTTATACGTAAATATATATTTTTTAAGAATTATTAAAATTGAAAATATATGATCTATTAAAATTTCATATGGGAGAATTTTTAGGAACACATGATAGTTATTTTTTCAATCGTCTGACAATAATTTTTTCTTCATGTACACTTTCAAAGTTAACTGAATTTAATAATTGTAACACCCAATATTTTTTAATAAGGGTGTATTGGTAATTATCATGACAATCATAATAATGTTTATAAGAAACTAAGTACAAAAAAAACAATGAAACTAAATAAACAAAACAAAAAGAAGAAAGAATACAAGTGGGCTTAGCCCATTAACGTGACATAAGTCACAAGGGTTAGGAAAAAAAGGAGAAAAAAAAACAAACTAACATGTATCTGCCAAATTGAAAGGGATTAGGGGAAGGGGAAACGCAGACAGAAGCAACGGGTTTCAGAAGAAAAGAGAAAAAAGAAAAATCCCTAGAAGGAAAGGAAGAAAGCATCGAACGGGAAAAACAAAAGAAAGAGAGTCTCGGGTATTTTTTTTTAATGCCGGAGATCGTGTTTCATCTAATCTTTGGCATACAATTTCTTGGGTTTCAGCAATACACTCAGGTAGTTACATGTATTTCTTCCTCTTTTAAGACAATGGAATTTTATATACATAATTCTGATAGGGCTAAATAGATATAATTTTGGAATTTGATTAAGAATTCTAAAGATGAAGCTAAGGAAATTTGGAGAAATTCATGAGACTTTTCCATTAATTAACTGGGTATATCATATGAATAGGTTGTATTTAATAGGTTTTGAAGTATTCTCAAATACAAGTAGCATGAGCAAGTATAAATTAATTAAGAGTCAAACATGAAATACAATGGTTGAGTATTCTAAATTAGCTATGAATTAGCTAAAGCAAGGAAATTAACATGAGATCGATGTTATGTAATTATAGATTGATTGAAGGAAGTTGTACGAATTGCTCGAGGTGAAGCATTTGGTATTTCGGCACGAGTACTGTGAGTAGTAATCTTACCGCAATTTGTGTTTTCATAAATTGCATGATTTACACATGATTTTCAATATGAATATGTTACCGATTATTTTGAGTTTCATGTGGGACAAGTCTTTTACTCGATATGATACCGAAATAGTTATTTGAGATGAATACCGTGGTTTTAAATATTTTCGTTGTCACTAGATCTGTTTTACCGTTACTTGAATTTACTGTTATCGAAAGGAAATTATATGATTTGATAAGAACCGAAATGCCCTATATTGTTTTAAAATAGTTTCTACGAGTATATACGGATCACAAAGACAAGTATAATTGGGAGTAAACATTGAAGGATTCTGTAGCTAACGCGGGTTCGTTAGACCTGGTACACCTTGTAACTACAGATTACCGTTATAGCCCTCGCTAGTGGGAAGGTAGAACTAGCATACCGTTGTCGACTTCCCTCGAGTAGGGACTACCGTTATATATGACTTCTTGCAAAGAAGTCCACAGTTATACCGATTACATGATCCGTTCATTGAAACCTCCCAAAATGTGAATACTGATATTATATAGTGGTTACCGAGCATATTATTGAGTGTTAATTATATTTTACTACAAGAAAATCATGATGAGACTGAAAATTATTTGTTGTTTCTGAAAGGGCATTTTTATGTATTTTCTCTTTGAGATACTAACATGTTTCTGACTTGTCCCCAAATAAAAATGGTTTGTGGTTAAGTGTTATTACTCACTGAGCTAGCGACTCATTCCCCGCTAATCTTTTTTACAGAGACAGCAGTTGGCGCGGGCGATGATTTCGTTAATTAGAGCGCACAAATTGATATTTCTCGGTGAGCCTCGCACTTGTTCGCGTGGGCAGAGTTTTTGTTTATTGTTATGGTCTTTTCATTGAACTCTTAGAGTCGCTCCATAGTCATTATTTTAGTGTCATGAGTATTCTTTTGTTATTATGGTCTTATGTTGAGTATCGTTCTCATTTATCAAAGTTGGAGATAAATTAGTATTTCTAGTGGTTAGTTGGTAGTTTAGTTATGGTGGAGACTTGTATTGGTTAATTGACAAGTTGTCAATTATTTGATATGATATTAGGATGTTTGGTTGTTGATTTGAAAAAGGAAAATTTTTGGGATGGTCCAAAAACAGGGGAAGCTCTGTCCGATTTTTTGTAAAATTACCGATGAGGCTTACTTGGGAGCACTTGCTCCTAAGCGCCGGTCACAATCCTAAATTTGGTCGTGACAAAGTTGGTATCAAAGCTTAGGCTTTAAGTCCCGAGTCATGGAGCAATGTTTAGTAGAGTCTTGTTCATGGGTATGTAGGCGCCCATACTTATGACCTTGAGGCTACTGAACATCTAGGAATGTTTTCCTTTCTTTCATTCTTTGATCGTGCGTTGAGATAACTTGAGAGTGACTTTGGAATATTTCTTTCGCAGATGGCTAGGACACGCACACCCTCATCTGCTGGACGTGCTGCTGGACGTGGTGCTACCCGGGGTGGCGGTCAAGTTGGGGTTCATCAAACTAGAAGACAGACTGCTCCTCAATCTCAAGTTGGGAACATGGGTCAAACCCAAGTTGTTATGCCAGTCAAGTGCAAGAGCAGGGAGTTCAGAACGCTCCACCACCAGTGCCAACTGTTGTACCTACTGTTGCCTTACCTGCAGATGCAGTGGCAAGGTTATTGAATGTGTTAGAAGCATTGGTGCCTACTCAGGGCGGAAGTTCAGCTCCTCAGGCTACTTTACAGACACAAGCACCTACACAGACTCGGACTTTCGGGAATAAGGAAGTATCCCTACAAGAGTTTCTGAAATTGAAATCACCAAAATTCACAGGTTCCGGTAATTTAGCAGATCCTCAAAGTTTCTTGGATGGGACACTAATGGCTTTACGTGCTCTTGGATGTTCTAGTGAGAGA